GCGCAAAAAGCATTAAAATGATAAAAGATATATAATACAATAGAAAAAAAATTTTTTTTTCTTTTTTTTGCCATATAAACCCATTTCCCAATATAAATATATTATAAACATAACAAAAAAAAATAGGAAAAGTAAACTAGTAAAAGTTTAAAGTAAAAATTCGTTAAAACCCAGTATAGAAAATACCGATAAATGGAGTCCAAGTCATTAATTAAAAAGAAGATACAACATGTAGAAAACTTAATTACACATGCGTATTCACATGTTTTGCATTATGGGAAGGCTACGCCAGGGTAGACTCGACTATCACATGCGTGACCCGATACGGATCAATGTTCGAAGCGGGACGTCGATCTTCCAGGTACCCTTTACCTTCAGCAGCAACATGGCGCGGTATACGAATTGATGCACCGCGATTTGCAACCCCAAATGAAAACTGAGATATATGACCAGTCTCGTGATGACCTGTTAGACGTTGATCATTATCCTCGCCATAAACGGCTATATGTTCTGCATGTCTCGTTGACATTTTATCTATAGCATCATATATAGCTTTTAATCCACCTTCTTCACGCATTGCATGTGTTGAATAATTCGTGTGACAGCCTGCTCCATTCCAGTCACCTTTAATAGGTTTAGGATGGAAAGATACTACAGCACCGAAATCTTCGGCAACACGTTTTAGCAGAAATCTTGCCATCCATAGATGGTCACCCATATCGATTCCTTCACAGGGACCGACTTGGAATTCCCATTGGCCTAAAAAAAAAATAAAAATAAAAAATAGGATGAATTAATATATATATGAGATATACATATTTATTATATATATTATTATTATTATTTATGTTAATTATATAATAATTACCAGGCATGACTTCAGCGTTAACGCCCGAAATTTTAACACCAGCATAAAGACAGGCACGATAGTGAGCTTCGACAATATCACGTCCAAATGCTACGTTCGCACCAACGGAACAATAATAAGGACCCTGAGGACCAGGGAAACCCCCTTTAGGCCAACCAAGAACATTATTTTCTAAGTCGAAGAGGGTATATTCTTGTTCAATGCCAAACCAAGGATGACAATCAGTATAGGTTTGCATAATTTTAGCACAAGAGTGACGATAATTCGTTTTATTAGGAGTTCCATCATTATTGTAACATTCACAAAGGACTAAGATATTATCTCCACGTCTGAAAGGATCTTTGAAAATAGAAGCAGGACGAAGCAAAACATCAGAATTGTCGCCGGGAGCTTGATTGGTAGAAGAACCATCAAAATTCCATTCAGGCAATTGAGAAACGTCAGTAGGTTTTTGGTCGAGAGTTTTGGTCTTTGCACGGAGGCCTCCGTCGCCGTCGATCCAGATGTATTCGGCTTGGACTTTGCCTCCTTGGTCGAGAGCAAGGTATTTAGCAAGGGTATCAGTGTTGGATTTGTTGCTGATAGACATTGTCATAAAAAATTACTCTTAGTAAAAAGACTAATTTGTGTTTCGTTAAAAGTAAGTCGTTACAAAAACTAAATCCAGAAATATACTGGGAAATGAGAGTTGGCAAAAAAATAAAGTGTATTAAAAAAAAATTTGCAGTTGTTGTTTAAAAAAAAAGCAGTTGTAAAATTGTTTGAAGAAATCTGACAAAGGAATGAAAAGTGGGTTTATATACGAAAAGGTAAACTATTAAATTTATTAATGACGCGTGATATTAAATTTTTTTTTTTTTTTTTTTTTTTATAGAAATGACGTTCGGAGTTACCATACAATTTAAAAAATTGTATATTGAAAAATGCAAATGGTCGGACAAATATTATCGATAAAGTTTGATAAACCCCAGTAGTATAAAAATTATAAATTATAAAATAAATTTTTTTTTTTTTTTATCATTAAATCATTTAATCATTAAAAATCGATTGATGTATACTATTTTTGGATAATTGTTCTCTCCTGAAGCCTATGACAGATCCGGAAAATTTTGTATAAATAAATGCATTTCCTGATTGATATCGTTATTCCCTTAATAATATATACTTATAAAATATTAGTTAATACAAGAAAAAATTTTTTTTATTAACCATTTTAGGTTTAACTTAAATTTTTTTTTTTTTGACTATAACCTTAATAATATTAGGATTGTCAACAGTTGTACATAGTTGTACATGTAACCTTGATAAGAGCATTTTAATACTTTTAAGGAAATTTATAGCTTATCTAGAGTTTAACAACCGGAAGTGAAGCGGTAAACAACGGAAAATAAGGTTACTCGAACTTTTTTTTTTGATTTTACAGATTTACAGATTCATCAAAAGAATCACAAGAAAGGAAATAGTATCTGATAGATCAATCATCTATTTTTTTTTTTTTTTTTTTTTCTTTATTTGTTTTTGTTTTCGTAAT